AGAGTGTTGGCACATAAGGTGAAATTATCGAGGTCGTGTGGTCGTGTGGCCCAACGGCAGCGTGCGCGACTTCGAATCAAGAGGTCCCGGGTTCGAGTCCTGACATGCCACCGATCTTGTGCCCTTGGGAAATGCACTTTAGCACTATCGCACCGCTGCAATTTCAATAAAAAAAGGTGAAATTATGGGATTTAGAAATAAAATACATATATCCCCGTGATACCGATTAGCACGCATTAGATGTTTTTACAGTCAAATACATTTGACTACACAGTTGACTGTTTACAGTATGCGACCATAAAGCTTGAATATGTAAACATACCTTTTATTTCGAAAGCCTGTTGACTTGCTGTGACCTAGTGCAATGACATTCTAGTCAAAAGAAATGATGCTGATTGGTTGATTGAATAAAAAAGAAGAAAAACATTCCTTGTTCCGCGGTTCGCTTCTTTTCTAACTGAGGTGAAGCCTTCACTCTATGTAGTTCTGGCTGAATAGTTGTGTGTATAGGCGTGTCTAAAGCGAGAGACACAACCAACCGTACGTGTACTTTGTCAGTACGTTTTTTTGGAGGCCACGTCTGCCACGTTTCTTTCTAAGGTGGGGAAGGACTGGCATGAGCAGTACGTTAACGCACGTCACTCGCACGGTTGCGCAAGGTCGGCAAACAAAGTGGCGTTCTGCCGAAATGCTGGTTGAACCTGTTTTCACGTGAACATTTTAGTACGGGTCATAAGATGGCATTTTGTTTCTTGAGTCACAAAAGAGATGTTTGTTGCTTTGTGTTCTCTTCTTCGCAAGCTCCGAAGAGAATTATGTTTCCCGTCTATTTCACAGACAAACATACACAATTAGGATAGTTAGCTCACCGTCACCTCAGTACGGTCGGGCATTTATTGGGACCTCAACTCAGTAACACGAATACTCTCTACTCTCTACACACTGTTGATTTCATAGCATGTACATACTTATACAGGAGCCTAATAAAACAAACAAGTCATGCGCTGCGAGCTGGCGACCTGTTTTACCCTGGTTGCCAATTGTTAAGCCAAAGTCAGGCTGATCGGTTAAACCAAGGCTCTGTCCAGCGGATGTTTAACGTATCCTGACTTGTAACTAACTTCTAAACGGTGAAGTTCAAAAGCTCATCATTGTGATCAAGGTTGAAAACATCCTGGCTAAGTAATGGATAAGTAATACAGGCACACCCGAGTAACTACTGACCTTTGTAAGTTACACGGTTCAAAATACGATAACAACATAGTTCTGGAAGTTTCAAATACACAACATACTGAATACAGCAATCGGCTACAATGTGACTGTGAAGTTCGAACGCTAGCAATGCAGGTATCTTACAGAGAAGAGATAACGTGAAGGTTATGTAACAATTTACGTGCGCTACGTCGCAGGTAACATTGAGGATAATGTACAGTGCTATGACGAAAATATACGAGTCTAGATAAAGTCAGTAAGAACTAAGATAGCGCGATGTCGATATTAGATGAGAAAACATAATTTCTTCTTTGTCCACACGGGGGGAGCTTCCGGTGGTTCGACTTCCGGAGAAACCTGACGTTCACGGGACTCTCGTGAAACTCACGTTCACCCGAGCACTTGCGATGGGACTGTATACGTCCACCCGTACGGGGGGCGGAACTTCCCATGTACCAACAAATGTGTCCACAGGGGGGACTACATTCAACAGCCATGCCCCGCACTATATATCCCACAATGGAACGCCTTGCCTGGCCCTGTAGTCATGGCTCCCACCGTTGAGTCTCTCCGGGTCAGGCTGGAGGCCTGCCCACCTTAGACCAAGCCCCCCCCCCCCCTAAAGTACCCCAACAGGGGCTATATTGGGGTGTAGCCGGGGCTCATATATCTCAGAGCCCCGGCAAAGATGAAGATGAAGTCTGCACTTGGGGAGCACATCCAATTCAACGTCACGTACAGACAAGTAACCTACCAAAACATAACTACCGTTCTAGAATCCAGGTGTTCTCGGGTCAGCCATGGGAGGGTTGGGTGGGAATGTGACCGTACAATGAAAGATTGAGGCCGCACAACACAATATTTATGGGCGAACCCCGTAGTCAGAAGTAGTCCGGGCACAAAGTAGCGCTACTCAATACTAGAGAAAGGGGTAGAGATTGTTCTGTGCATGGCATCGAGATGGAACCTGTGGTGAATGTTAGGGGAGTGCGTCAGTTTTGAGACTGAAAAAGTTGAATTATGGTGCGTGTTCAGTCGGCGTAGATTTGCGCAGTGGCGCTAATAAAAGAGGGCATAAGAAAAGAACTAGCCGGCAAACTTAAGCTTGCATATTTTTACATATTTTGTACACCATGCATATCAAAATTCGGAATCTTGCTTGTGCACCCTACTATAATTTTTAGTGAGTCAAAATGAGTCACTTTGGGGTTCTTTTAAGAACTTTTAACTTTTATTAATTGGAAAATTTCATAATTCCATAAAGGTTTTTTATACTTAAACATAACTTATTCAAATAAGGACCTCATTAGCATAGTTTATGAGGAAATAAAAGAATGGCTTTTTTGGTCAAGATAAGGCTGTCTCTTTGGTGAAAAATATGATTAACTAATATAATTTAAGCAAATGAGGATCCTATTTGTATAATCGAGAGGAATAATATTTACTTTGTCAGTCATAAAGATTAACATCGTTTGGCGAAGGTCGTGGAACTCTAGTTTCATTATTAACTATCACGGGGAGGTGACACAGTTTATTCCTCCAGGCCAGGGGTTTGGGAAATTAAGTACAATGATTCAAAACCTGAATGTGAATCAAATCATGACTTTATCATTCAACTTTATTCCACTCTTGTGTGGCTAGTGTGTTTGTGATTCCGCACATTTGTAGCCAGCGTAACTTTTGAACCTTAAGATGGATTGAAATGATATGTATGTGTCGGTATGTGGGTAGGTGTTGGGTAAGCAAAGGTGTCGGTCAATTTTAGGCCTCCTGGTGTCTGATCTTGGTACTGCAGCAGAACTTCCGGTTTTTGTATCTTTTGTCCTAGACATGTTATGGTCTTGATTTTTCGATGACAGATAGCTTTTCCTGTCAGGAATAAGTAGTGTGGGTTTGGTCCCCCTAGCAGCTTGTTCTAGAACTGCAGGGGACTTGCTGGCGAAATCTTGAAAAGCCAATAATTCCAGTTAGGAACAACGTATTTTCATCATTTTTGGTGTGTAGGTAGCTAAGAGAACATTGTATATAATTGAATGCATATTATGCAAATGAGGACTTTGCATAATATGGAACTGCACTTCTGGTGAAACCTTTCACAGCATATAAATTCAGAAAGGTACTATTTTTTTCTTGATTTGGATAGCTTAGGCAGAGATCTACATTATTGGACGCAAATTATGCAAATAATGACTTAATTTGCATAATTAATGAGGCAATTTTAGTGTTTAACATGAAGGAACTCGCCTGATACATTGATAATTTAAAAGTTAGTTGTAAATGTTATTACTCCGTGAAAGAGGTCAGGACCCCCAGACGTTTTATTGTGAGGAGCTGTTTTTTCGTGTTCGCAGCTAGAACACGGGGGTTCCCTTTGTGTAGTCGGCATGCAATTTTTTTACGCCGTCTGTGGGCATGCCCGTGTTTGAAAAACTGCGTATTTTCTCTTGTTTGTTTGGTGAAATATCAAAATCTTCAATATTGATACATACATGAAGCAATATCATAGTATGGATAAAAAGGTCCACGGTGTTTTCAGGCAATAGCACACACACAAACAAAAAGTCACTTTCAAGAAATTTGCAAACACACACACACACACTCATACACAAGCAAACACACGGGAAGAAAAATACATATAGGAAGACTGCAGATAAGAAGAGAAGGGGATTCTTGTTTGTATTGCAGCAACTGTACAATCGTCAGACGTCCTCCTCATGGCAACCGAAGCTGTGGACAATACCAACCAATGATGACTGTCCACATCAACGGTAAGTTATTCTCAAAGTTTGGTTTCCACTAATACAAACGAAACAAGAATTAAACAAGAGTTCCGAGATCTCATACCTCCATGAAATATGGGCTTAACATGTAAATGTAAATTTTTTCTTTAATAATTAACATAATAAATGCATCGTGATGTTAACTTTTATTAATTTACACATGTACCAAGTATGAAATTCCTATCATTTACCTCTAGAGTCATAGAATTTTCGCATTAATTATGTAAATTAGGTCATCATTTGCATAATTTTTATCTGTTGATGTTTCATCTGCCATAGATTACATACATTACATGTATTAAAATACTATAATGTAAAGCACTGTAATTATAGAATTTCCTCATTAATGATGCAAATTAAGTCTTCATTTGCATAATTTGTAGTTAATTATGCACATCTCTCTCTCAGCTACCTACCTACCAAAAATGATGAAAATACATTGTTTCTACCTGGACTTATTTGCTTTTAAAGATTTCACCCGAAAGTCCCCTGCAGTTCCAGAACAAGCTGCTAGGGCAACCAAACCCACACCACTTATTCCTGACAGAACAATTTATCTGTCACCAAAAAATCAAGACCATAGCATGTTTAGGACAAAAGATACAAAACCGGAAGTTCTGCTGCAGTACCAATGTCATCCACCAGGAGGCCTATATTTGACCTTACACACACACACACACACACACACACACACACACACACACACAAACACACACACACACACAAACACACACACACACACACACACACAGACAGACGCGCCAAAAACAATATCCCAATTTTCATGGAGGTAATAAAACTTAAGACTACATTTCTCTGCAAAATGCTGGTCTAATTTTTTTAGATGTTAAAAGGGAAGAATTTCAATCAGTTTTTTGCATTTAATGAAAATTTAAGAAGCTACGATATTTTACATTCACGCGCAGTTTGCTTTTAACACATTGCAAAACATCATACCTTCATTCTAAAGAGTAAACTCAGTTATTATTTTCCCCAGCAACTGATCAATCTGACAGGAAGTTTAACTCCACATCGGTAACCAACACCAGCATCACTGTGACATGGAGGTCCTTCAGCGAAGAAACCCGGCGCAGTTTATTCAGACCACACAATTTCTACTTTTACAAGGTAACAATGCAAGGCAACACGGCAAAATAGCTATTGATACACTATTGATACTTTATTCGGATATTTAAGTTCATTATTCTATTAACAGCAACAACGAAAAAGATTTTGATAAAGCGTTTGAACCATACTATTCCATCGTAATGTTTTGTAATGCTTTTCATAAATTACCATTTATTGTAGAACTAAAAAAAGATCACAGAAATGTATTTGAACCATTTATAAATCACAGAAACGTATTTGAACTACAACATTTAGACATCTTGCCATGTACTTTAAACCACTATGTCTGGAATGCTATTATCTTTTGCTGGTAACACAAGACCCATTTTATACACTGAGATGTGTGAAGAAACAGTTTTGAAGGCAACCGAATATTTATGTATTTTTTATTATTATTTTCTAATGTTTTTCTTAAGATAAGAATTTCACCGCCAGAGATTGATACCAACACTCACCAGGCGTTCTACGATGAGAATGTGCTGGAGGCAACTTTTTCCGGACTCACTCCAGGAAAAGAATACGAAGTTAGTAACAATTTAACATATTCTTTAATTTTGAATATCAATATGCAAGTCGGTTTTAAGTTGGAAATGATCTATGGCGGCATTTTGTTTTAATTAGGCCGAAGCAAGAAAATCTTATGGATGACATCCTCAATGGACTCCAAATCTAATGCGAGCGGGCAAAAAAAAGGCTGGCCAAAAAAAGCAAGATTCCAATCTTTTCAAATTTTGACTATATTGTGCTAACTTTACTGCAAACTGTCACAACATCCATTTGTCACTGAACAACTTTAAAAAAAAGGAAAGTTTTCAATCATTGTACAGATTGTTTTGATTCAGTGGGAACATATAAAAGGAATGAAATACATCACTGCATTAAAGTAACAGTCAAAACAATAAATTAGAGCCTTGTCGTGTCTCCTCTCTTTATGTTTATCTGCCATACACATTCCGGCATGACAAGGCAAGCCATTTTGCCCGTTTTCGGCATCTTGACTACTGTTATGGGGCAACAAAATTTCTTGTTTTTTTTCCAAAATCAGGCGAAAATCAGGCGAAAATCAATGTTATCCATAAAGATTACTTACTCTTGCCTTACAAGATAGCTGAACTGGTATAGAAATGGTTTTTAATACTCAAATCTGTACCGCCTAATGCTTCTTTAGTTTTATGTTCTGTAGTACAACTTTGCTTCGTCAATTAATGGAGATAAGGCCATGTTGATTTGATTATATGGATGACATCCTCCGGGAGCCCCAAAACTGATGCGCGCGTGCGAATAAAAAAAAGTTTTACAAAAAAAAAAGTTATTTTCATTATGAAATCTACGTGGTCATGAGGGTTGAGCAAATGGCACAGAATATGGTTTGGCGAATAATCTAGTCTTCAAGTTCATTTCTTTACAATTTCGTCTTTTTTCGTTTGATTTTGGCATTCTACGACATTGGTATAGTTTTTATTATTTTTTTTTGCAACTTATGGTATATTTTTGCTCATTTTGCAACTGTTTTGTACGATTTACAGTATGGTTGAAATTTTTTTTTTTTTTGGAAACGGCCGAAAATTCATGCGCGCGCGGATGTCATCCATATAATCAAATCAACATGGCCTAATGGTTTTCTAGATTCACTTTGAAGCTGTCGGGGACAACGACGCACTCGTGTTGCAAAACCCTTATCATCTGAGACTTATTACCAATGCCATTGTCTCAACTGGTAAGTACACTGCGCAGTCTGCAGTAGCGCTTGCTTCATTTCTTTTGGGATGGAAGTATTGTTTTGTACGGTTCAAGTATGGAGAAAGTTTGTATGTTTGGGTTCCGAAGTGAGTGGTCGGAGACTGGGTTTCAGCTAGCTGAGTGAAAGGGTTTTAACCAACATGTGATCGCCAGGATATAGGAATGTGTAAAACACAAAGTATTGTGAAATAGCTCAGAAACTTTCCTCATAAATTCGTATCCTACATATGAGTGATAATAATGCATTCTGTAATGTTAAAAATCGACGCAGACTGTGTCTAGGTCCTGAAAATGGTAAATCTTTGACAATCTTTTATACATACATTTTATGTAATGGTTTATCAACTATTTCAAATTGCTTAAATGAAGTTTTACAATGTTTATGTAATGTCCCCATATCATTTCAGCCGTTGGGCTGCCATTTTTGGGACAATGTTGTTGTTAATGCAAGTAAACCATTGACATTCTGCGGTACAAAAGAAACAAGACATGAATCATGTATTTTTAGATCCTTCTCCAGTGGAGAAAGTTTCCGTTGTCGCTAAGAGCTCAACATCCGTGACATTGAACCTGACACCACCGAAGAACGGGTTTGTAGACCTGTTCCAAATACAGGCAACTTCAGCACATCATTCCAGGTACTTAATGGGTTCCAAAGTGCAGTTTTTACCATTCGATCACATGTAGACTTCAACTAAAACGAAATATACATGTATGGACGACGTCTTCGTCGCATATTAGAAATCGGCATATAAAAATTTTATTGTGTCCCTATACTGCACCTGTCTGCAGTTTTGTGTACACTTTCATAAGCATTCGTCGACAATTATATAACCTCTAACCCAACCTAAACTGCATTTAATGCAAAATGTGCACAAGTTGGTAGAGGGCATCTGAGGAAAAGGAATAAAAGCATTTTATATGGCAAGAACCACGCAATGATCATATTTACTCACACGTTTAAGAGGTTTGTATGTGCAGAAAAGGGTAAAAACTTGTCATTTTGCTTTGTACGAATAAATGGTATTCAAAAATGCCAAAATACTCCTGTACATGGCCCTGAAGTTAGGCTCATTTGATCCTTGTTTTCAAATTAAAAGCTACAATTCAAATTCTTCCTTTTATTGTACGGACAGTCACTAACTGTTTCTTGATGATTCCAGCCCTCTTGTAGATGTTCCTTACTCAAGGGAAACCTCAGTCCTGGCCACTTTGTCCAATCTTCTGCCTAAAACTACGTACAATATTTCAGCCACAACTGTCAAGAATGGCCAGAGAGGCCAAGCAGCGTTTGTGAATGTCACGACAGGTAAGGGAGATGTGGAAAGCATAGATTCCAGGGCTCGAAATACTGGGTGCAACCAAACATTTTCGTTGGTTAACGTATGTAAAGATGCTAAATATGTACTAGTATGCAGCATTGTGATGGAATACATAGGATAGTGTTCAGAAGGCCCATAGCCCTTTTCACGGTTCCGCGTCTGCGCGCTGCGTTCTAGGAGTCGCAAGGCACTGTGGGTAATCCAGGGGACAAATTGTGGACAGAGATAAAGATGGCGGATTTGGACTTCAGTCCATGGGATGTTTTGTCAATGCGATCATTTCTTATTTAGAGAGAAGTACCGGTACATGACAAGCGCAAAGAGGAACTGATCCAGTTGTGCAACGCTGCACAACTAATAGGCTTGCCAAAGGTACTCTCTAACGCTGGCCATTCAGCCAGTCTCGAACAATCTGTCACGCAAAAGCTGACATTGGACGGCGGTTTGATTACGCTACCCAACCCAACTTCTTTGTCTGCAGGATGGGAAGCAGACGGATCAAGTTTACCTGATCTGCTACAAGCAGGTGTGGAAAAGTACTTTGAGAGAAGTGAGTTTCGCCGAAAATCCTTGCTATCGACGTTTTGTTCGGTTCTTTGTTTTGCTATAATATAGTTGGTATAAGTTGGTGACATTTGTTTACGTCCTGTTGTATGTTCTATGTTTTGCTAGTAAAAGCACCTGCAGCATACGTACACGATGGAAATGTTTTTTGACATCTTGTTTACCTGTTCCAACTGTTTTGTTCGTATTTTTATCATTGCAACATACTGACATGATGAAGACTTAGTACATTCTTGACATTCTGTAATGTGTAACATGTTCTTACTCACCTTTCTTACTGTTTGTTTTATTTGCATATGTTTTAGCATCTGCAGCATACATTCATGATGAAAATTTTTAAAGAACTTGTTTACGAGGGTAAGTGTGCACAAGGTATTATTTCTTATCTTAATATTATCTTAATATCAACAGATTGTAAAGGCATGTTCTTTACTTCACCCCAGAGGAAGAGTTCAAACATAATTTTGGCATTCATAATCTAACTTCTGCTTTGTCATACTTCTGCCATTGTACCTGGCTAATTTTTTACTGTGCAATGAGTTTTTGTTGTATTTATATATGATCTGTACAGAGGTCAAGACGTTTAAGTGACAGGGATGCTGATGTGTTTCACTTCACTTTCACTTTATTTATGTGTTGATGTGTGTGTCTCATCATACCAATTTCAGAAAACAAGGATGTCAACATTACAACAGCAGGCAAGGAGGCTCTCCGTGACGGAAAAAGTCTGCACGTTTCGGGACACGTCCGGAATCTCCGTGTCCATGCAGTTCACCCTGACAGCCCCTACTGTTTTGTGCGCTGCAGCACTGTCAGAGAGACCAGTGTCTCCCTCTCACCATATGACACTTGGATCATTGTCCACAAATCCAGAAACATCCTGGTTGACGGTTATTGCACCTGCCCTGGAGGGTATGTGAATTTTAGCAGCCTTGCCACATGTACAATTAACCTGTCCATTTGTTGTCTTACAAAGTCTTAGTTGTGATAAGTAGTTGCGTGTTGATGACCAGATCTAAGTCAAATAATTTCTTTGTGATTGTTCTTTTTTTTTAGTATTCGAGGCACCTGCAAGCACGTCGCAGCATTGTGTGATACTGTTATTGAAACAGTTGCTACAGGAGGTGATAGGGCAGTGACTGACAAAACCCAATGCTGGCATGCACCATCGAAGAAGCCACATGAGCCACAGTTCACAAAGGATATAACCATCAGAAAAGTCAAAGGTACAATTTTGATGCTAGGAGAGCTAGCATTACTTCTAGGAATCAAACAGTCTAACTACTTCAGACTTGTGGAGAACTGTAATAATATCATACATTGTGCAAATACATATTATGGCCATATTGCTGGTCCTAAAGCTACACCACATATGGATATTTACTATGTAAGAAATAGAATGACTTCATGTTGTGGTGACCAAAAAATTATGTACAGCCACTGTGTATGGTATACAAATGTATATACTGTATACACTTAGCTTCTTTCAGTTTTAGCTGATGGGAAATTATTAATGTTTCAGGTGATTGTCAACTTGAAGAACTTCCCAACGCAAAACGCACAAGGTTCAACTACGATCCCAGAGCAGTGGAGGACAGGCCTTCCAAGTCTCTTCACCACCTTGACTTGGAAGGCCTTAGGATAGCAACAGATGGCAGAGCGGGTATTTTGGCTTATGTGCCTGCTCTGCCATCTGAGGGATCCAGTGTTCCTGACATTGAGCATGTTGTTAGCGAAAATGTTGTAGACACTGAAGAATTCACTTCAAAGCCCGATCTTCCAAAAACTTTACCAGAAATGGCACAGAATGCCCACAGTGCTGAAGATTTATTTAGAACAGCCACAATGCCAATATCAGAGGAAGTCGCTAACATGATCAGGGACACCACCAAAGAACAGGGTCTATCAGACAGCTGGTTCCAGTTCAGAAAGGGGAGAATAACCAGCAGCAAGATATATGAAGCAGTAAAAAAGGTTCGTTCAGATGGAACGGTTAGCGACCAAAATACTTCCTTCTTAAAGCAAGTGATGGATTATGGTCCTCGGCCATATACCCTAGCCATTCACTGGGGACAGTACAATGAAAGATCTGCGGTGGAAAAGTTTGTCAAGCTGAACCGGCGACATCACAAGAAACTAAGAGCGGATGCTTGTGGCACAGTCATATGCACTGACTACCCCTTTTTGTCGGCATCTCCTGATGCAGTTATAACATGCAAATGTTGTGGAGTGCGGCCACTCGAGGTCAAAAACCCCTACACTTATAGACATTTGTCAATAAACAAGTTTGCTGAATTGCCTAATACCTGTCTAAACATCACTCCATCAGGACAGATAAAGCTAAATGCTCTACATCCCTACTACTATCAAATACAAGCCCAGTTACTGTGCATGAAGGCCGATATTGGCTTCTTTGCTGTCCAAACAGCAAGCCCATATAACAACTTCCATTGCAATATTTCTACTCAGAAATAAACTCCAAATATAGCAAAAATGGAAGACAATGAAATAAGTTAAGAACTTACAAAACAATTAAGCTTACATATGAAAAAGAACAATATTTAGATGTGCAAAAGTTTAGTCATCGTCGAGCATTGACAAAATTAAGGATTAGTGATCACCAATTACAGATCGAAATTGGTAGGTATAACCAGACTCCAGCAAGTAACAGAAATGCACTTTATGTAACAGTAACTGTGTAGAGGATGAAGAACACTTTGTCTTAGAATGCCCGTAATACACTGATATGCGGAAATCCTTTATCAATTCCTTAGAGTTAGAGAAGAAATATACATACTTGTCAAAAGCAGAACTGTTCAAATATATTATGACATCCAAGCACTACGATGTAAATGAAAAGCTATGTAAATTTGTTCATACATGTTTCAAAAAGAGAGAGGAGATCATATAGATAGATCCTGTAGTTAGAGACGTAGCACAGAAGTATAACACTTGTTACTTATATACCTGTACCTATAGTTATAGCACAGAAGTATAACACTTGTTTCTTCTATACCTGTACCTATAATTACAACACAGAAGTATAACACTTGTTTCCTTTATACCTGTACCTATAGTTATCCAGCTTTGTGCATTTGGCCCATGTAGGGCGTGGATATGCAATAAAGTTCATTGTCATTGTCATTGTCATTGTCATTATGAGGAGATATGTCTTGACACTGACTTCCTGGAGGAGGTAATTTCCAAAACATTGCTGGTTTTCGAGAAAGTAATAGTTGATGAGCTTGTTCACGAAAAGGTGAAGAAAAAAGTCATGTCTAATAATGATGGACAAACAGGACAAAACACGCAGTCAACCTCAGCCGTGCAGTCAAGCTCAGCCGTGCAGTCAACCTCAGCCGTGCAGTCAAGCTCAGCCGTGCAGTCAACCTCAGCCGTGCAGTCAACCTCAGCCATGCAGTCAACCTCAGCCATGCAGTCAACCTCAGCCATGCAGTCAACCTCAGCCATGCAGTCAACCTCAGCCATGCAGTCAACCTCAGCCATGCAGTCAACCTTAGCCATGCAGTCAACCTCAGCCATACAGTCATCGTGTCTAAACGTGCCATCAATTTCAACAGTACAGTCATCTGCAGCCGAATACATTTGTAAAGTGTGTAAAAAAGAATGTGAGGATGAGCCTCAAAGTTTTCAAGACATGAGCATCTATTGTGATTTCTGTCACAACTGGTTACACTGGGTGTGTGTGGATGTAAAGGGAACTGAGACATTTCTAAAAAAGAAGAAGCTGAAATGGAAATGTTTACTTTGTGTACACAATGATTAGATTTTTATATATGTATTGTTAAGCAAGTGTGTTCAAGTCCATATGACACATTTTCTAGTGCTGATTTTAAATGTATTTTATGGGTATGCTGGAAATGCACCAACATACTAAATTCTAGGTGCATTGGGTGTACAGAATACAAGACATTTTTATGCAATTCAATCGTTTTGATGCATTCTTGTCTGTAGTGAAAACGTTAATTAGCACTTCAGAGAAACAATAGGTGGTTGGAGATTCACTAATGCACAGACTATGGTAGTGATATGGTCAAACAGGTCTCTCATGTTGAGGGGGATTGGGCCCTTCATTATCCTGAAATCTTTGACCCTACCAATAACCCTTTCCACATGGATTCTGGCATTGGCTACGCTTTTTGTTCTTTTGTTCTCAGACTCCGCAAACTGCTTCTTCTTCTTAAGGAAAGGAGGTATGACGAGGGTAACACCCTTGTGAAGGAACAGTTCCTGCACATTGAACCCTCTGTCTGCAAGAAGCGTGTCGCCATAATCAAACTTTTCTACTATGTTGGACTTGTTAACAATGTCTTTGTCACTCATCTTCCCCCCAGCACTTTTAGAAATGAAGGATACTGTACCTGCTGGGGTACAGGCAATGAGAATTTTCAAGGTCGGTCTATTCTTGTAGTTTGAGAAGATTTGGCCATTTGCCTTGGCCAATGAGGGCCTCTGGATTTCAACTTCCGTACAATCTATAATTGCACGTACATTTTTGTATCTTTTGAAACAGTTAGGGTAAAAAAGTTTGATTTCATGTTGTGCTGGCCAGTAAATTAAAGGGGATAATTCGAGGGATAGCAAAGGCAACCAGGTAGATAAAATTTGTGATACTAGAGTGGTACTGCAACAGAAAAGATGTGCTAGAAAATCCTCTACTAAGTTAAGTCTAATCTTCATCAGAACCAATAGTAATTCATTTTGTGCTGACAATAAGCGTTTAGGTCCCGGTTTGTTGGTCTTTTTCCTCTGATAGCCTTTCGTTGTGGCTGATGTTGATCCTTTGTAGTACTGCATGTATGGTAGTTTTGACACAACAGTATTGAAGACCCACATAAATAGTGCAAAGGACAGTCCTGTGTGTAGTGACATTTTTGCATCTGAGTTCTGTATTTGTTCTATGTCATATTGGCGCTGTTGCTTGGATGTGTTTGTTGCAGATTCTTTCATAGTTGTAATTTCCTCTTTAAGTTGTCGAACTTCACCCTCGAGTACATCATTCCGTTTTTGTAGTTCTCTGTATGCCTTCTTGCAGAAATTACATATTTTCACACACTGACAACAGTCGAGATTGGCTGCATCAGTGTCTTGCGTTGAAGCATAGGTGTGATCGAAGATCTTGCTACCATTCTGTTCAGCATTGTAGTCTCCATTAGCAACGTCAGCATTGTTGTCTCCATCACCATCATCATGTGGGATTTCTTTTTTCTCTTTGTGTGATTCCTTCTCATCGGCCGCCTTGCGTTTCACAGACCCTTGAATAGGAAAAAAAATTTCTCAAAACCTAGAATGATATGACTATCAAGAAAAGATTAGTAGCAGTCATGAGGTATTACAATCATATCTATCATCCTCACAAGCCATGTCATAAGGAAAGGTAGGTTTCAGATTTACTTCAGAGATGCAGACTAAAGGTGATTCATTGCATGAGGAATCTCAAAATTACTTTAAGCAAACATTCTAGATGCATGAATCATATCAGTGCCACCCAAGTTTTTTTCCTATTAAAATCTAAAGTGCATTCATCAAGCTGTACTATTCTACACTGGATTTAGTATTGCCACTTGACTCTAAAACAATACTACTGGTAGTACATGTACCTCTTCTGGTGTCAATGTAGGTATTATCGTCAGGGGTCGCTTCTCTCATTCTGATCATATCAAGCAAGGAATGGTCTTTGGTGGCAGTCTCATATCCTCTCATATAGAGGACTGGGTGAGGACATTGCTCTGTTGGACGTCCTAAGACGAAGTGGTTACTGCAGACTTTCTGGTTCACTGTTAGGCTGTGCAAGCCTTCTTGGTTCATATGTTCTGCCCAGACCTTGCTATGCCTTGCTGGGCAACTGAAGAACTGCAAAGTGCTCACGTGGTCCTTCACAACCATTCTACAAAGCAAAGACATATTTTATTTGCATCACATTTTCTCAAAATATTCATTTTGCATTTCACTGACAAAATTGACAAGCCCGAAACCACAACATGGCTAAGGCAACTAAGTTACTAACACCGGTTTGTGTTGAGCGTGGTAACCAGACTACCGTGGCTGGGGCTAATTCCGCTCGGGCCTACAGTGCTCTATTCCCGCCTATCTCAACTACAGATCGCACGCCGCGGGAACTAATGACGGTCAAATACATTAGCGTGCGATCTCTAACGGGGGAGTGGTGGTACTTGAGACAGGCGGGGGTACAAGCCCATAGGCCCGAGGAGACCCCGCGCAAGCAACATTATTGGTCTGGATACTAGGCTACTTTGTGCTAGATACAACCCTCTACTGTCAGAAGAAAAAAATACTGTAGAGTCCAATTCTTTTCACGTTTAGTTAAATTCGTCGCCAATTTTTGAAGAGAGCAAGCGTTATCGCACTCTGTTCTGAAACATCAGAGTAACACAAAGTTATCTACGTATACGATCACGAAAACACCAGCGATGGAGCGCCGTAAGATCAATGGCGTGAAAAAAGCGACGAAAAAATTAGGCATCCCCCCAATTAGATTAATAGATGAAAGAAAACATACCTTTGTGGATAACGTCTGTCGTTATTACAGCCGAAAACAACGCATCTGTCTGCTTTCCCCATGTTTGTGCGGCTGCAGCGCGCTGTGTTTTTGTTTACGTCCGATGGAGTTCGAAGATTTTCGCTAGGGGTCACTCTTGTCCCCTGGATTACCCACAGTGCCTTGCGACTCCTAGAACGCAGCGCGCAGACGCGGAACCGTGAAAAGGGCTATAAGGCAGAGCGTGGGGGCTGGGGGGAGTCAGTCGGGGTCTAGACTGGAGTGAGAGAGGTCCGGTGGCCTGTACTAGAGCAGCAGTCTAGTATTAAACAGAGTTCCTGGAGATCAACTCTGGCTCATTTCGTGACAAGCATATTCTGAACATTTATGTGTAAGAAAAATAATAGAATCATTGTGATAGTACTTTCTTTACAATGCCAATGACAATGAACTTTATTGCATTACATGGGCCAAATGCACCAAGTTAGATAACTGAGGTACAAGGATGAAAGGAAGAAGTGTTATATTGCTCTGCTACATCTATATCTACAGAATCTCTTCTTTCTTTGAAACTTTATGAACAAATTTACACAGTTTGTCATTTACATCGTAGTGCTTGGATGTCATGATATGTTTGAACAATTCTACAAATGAAGCATAATCAGTTATTGCTGACATTCTAGTTATCCTTAGGCTATTTTATATGGTGCACCCAATAAACAATTTCC